TGACGTGGGCATTTTATTTCTTTTATGCTTCCAGTGCTGAAGCGTAGATTCTCCGTAGTGGAAGCTTGATTTTTAAAGCTCTCGTAGATAAAAAGTGAAGTTTTCTCTTGCATAATCAGAAAAGTTTTCACTTTGATAGCTTTGCTACTATAAAATACACAATAAAAACACAGAAAGTTGACTTTTTAATTTTTCTTTAATTTTTAAATATTCTACCCTACGTCCCTGATGCATCGTTTGACAAAATGCCCACCTTGAACTTTGCTTGAAGTTTACGACGACAAACTTTCCCGTAGCATTATGCTGCCCTCACCATGTTTTAATGCAAGGATGGTGTGTTAGTTTTAGAAGCAGTAGGGCTTACTCGACCAGATCTTCCACGTGATCGCCGTCTCTCCAACAAACAAACGTCTCTCCTTCTCGTAAACAATTCTACAGCAGTTTGTATTGGTGTATCCCGCAAAACTGCATCTACAATAAAGCCCACACAATCTGAAAAGGTCTGAGGGTGTGAATGCTTTTACCTCAGTGTAGTACACAACAAAGGTGTGTTTCAATCACAGCCAGACTCTCTCTCCACCGGCTTATCTCGACACGAGAAACACAAGTGGCCTTCTCTTAAACTTGTTAAGTCGGGAGAAGGCAAATATTTACTCAACCTTCAAAGGTTCTGTGCCCTGGTCGTGCTGAGAACTTCCCACAGCTGGCACACCCTCGGCTTTACCTGCCCCAGGTGATCCCGTGCTGCGTTTGCCTGCCAGAGCGATCGGCTGATAAGGCCTCGAGTTGCTGGATCTTTGTGCTGCGGGAGTGCATGAAGAAGACAAAAGGCAGACTGCATTAACTAGTCTCTTATCGGCACGGCTCACCTGCAATCGCCACCTGTATGCGCTGCTGATTTACACCACGCACACGGTCACGTCCTGAAAGTTCAACCGTGCTGCTTGTTCTGAGCTGTCGCTCTGGCCCCTTTCCACCTATGATTTAACTTTGTCATCAGTGTTTGTGAATACTTTCGACTTAATGTTTTGTCTTTGGGGGGAATCCTTGACTGAGGAGCCCTGAAGGAAAATTCCATTTATATTTAAATCTGGGCTTAGTCGCGCTGCTTGGTTAAAAAAACAACAGATTTGCCCTGATTAGACTGATTACGCAACCCTGGTATTATGGTGAAAAAACTAAACACACACACACAGAGCTACTGAATCTTTGCAGGTCAGTGGTAGACCATACACTGCCTTTGAAAAGTTTTCATACTCCATGAATTCTTTCACATTTCCCACAAACAAACCATAATATTGTGCAGCAGAGCGTGACTGAAGTGGAAGTTCAACAATACCTGGATTTTCAGCTTCACATACAGACACCTCGACTCTTATATCCTTAGTAATATCCAGTTCACCCAATTAGAGGTAACCTAATTAGTAATCTTGTAATAAATGTAGCTGTTGGATAAAAGGCCTCAGAGGTTTGTTGGAGAAAAATGGTGGACAAACAAGAACATGAATAACAAGTCAGGGAGGAAGCTGTAGAGAAGTTTAAAAGCAATATTTAGGGATGCACTGATCTGAAAATTTTGACCAATGTCCAATATTATTCTCATCACTGTTATGGGCAATAACCAATATTTACCAATATTGTATGTGTTATATCTATTGACATACGTCTTTAAAAGTATGAAAAAATGACCACACCACTGGCGTTGCTTCTCTCCTTCAGTTATAAATGCCACAATCCTGCACTGCATCACTATCACATACCCAAACACCTCTTAGTCAAACCCCTTCACTCCCTTTCCTGAAACACAAACCGCAACGAAAATGGAAATGCACGTCTTTTGGCAGTATCGGCTTAGTTTTACATATCGGATCAATATCAAAATGACAAAAAAAAATTCAATCCAATTGAGAATCTGTGGCAGTAAACATAAGTTGCTGTTCTCAGAAGCTTGAGATGGTGAGTAAAGATGACACAAATTGGTTTCGAAACATGCAAAACTTGTAATTAAACGACTGCAAAGTGGCGCAAAAAGTTTTGCGAGGCGCTGCGTTCTGTTTCTCTGAGTCTGTGAATCCAAATTGAAAAGTTTTCCAGATTGTCGGAGTTTTTGCCTACCACTTAAATATATCTCCTCATCAAAGCTCGAGTCTTGACGGATGCGGTGCTGTTGACATGACTCATGCACAGGAACGCCATCATGAGAACAGTTGAGGGTGCCGTGGTGCCGGAAAGATCCAGCCTCCAAAGGCCTCGGTATCTGCACGAGATAAGAAGCAGGAGAGAAGTAACACACTCTCCTAAGGGTGCATGCAGATAATGTGTGTGCGCGTGTGTGTGTGGGAGCGGGGGAGGCAGCTCCGTGACTAGTGTGTTTGTTTATGTGCATGCGGGTGGGGTGGCGAGCGGGGGACTGTGTGGACACAGAGCATGGAGGGGTGGAGGGGCGAGATGTGAGACGGTGTGGGGCCTTCGGAGCTTCCCAGGGAGAGCCCTGAGCTACAGTTCATTCAGCTCCTGCAGGAGTGTAAACAGACAGTGATTGAATGGTGATGAGAAAGGTGCCGAGGAGGGCAGGACAGTGGAGCACAGAGACGCGGCCCCGCATGAAAACTGTGCCACTATCACGCTTTTGTTTTGGTTGTCACTTGGATCCCATGAGCAAACGCCGCTCCTCATTGGTTCCATTACTGGAACTCCCCTCTCCCTACTACAATGATAAAGCTCGTGACCTACTTCGCATGCATAGATTGGGGCATTGCTTTGCTGCCTTATGTTTATTAGGTCCACCCCCACCACAGCTAAGAATAACAAAGATTTCACCAGGGGAACAGCTGTGTTTTCATCACAAACACATTTGATATTGTAAACACGTAGTTCGCTTGCTGAAGCACAAGGCACTACAATTGTTGTGTGAAAGAAACTTGTGTTAAGGGTGGTTTTGTGTTTATACAAGCCGATGTAGCGCTTCGTCTCCGAGGACTATCAGATTTATTAGATCAGCTGACGAGGACCTGTCGGGCCGGGAGGAGGAGGCGGTCAGTGTTCAGGGATGATCTGCGACTTGTTCAAGTCGAAACAAAAGGCATAATGAAAGGATAAGTCATGCCTGATGCAATGTACAAAGCCTGTGTTAGTCAGTGAGTGGGAGAGGATCAGGTCTTACAGGAATGGTGGTTTCAGATTGTCGATAGAAAACCTTCTGCTGGGACTTCTTGTCCAACGCAACCGGCTGCACTGGATCGCCTCTTCCGCACGCTTAGCTTGTTGACAAATGTGCAACTTGTCAATCATGTCCAGCACGTCTTAAATGTAGCCAAGTGTTGAACAAAACGGAAGTTTCTCGGCTGCCGATCTGATTGCGGTGTATCTGTCATGTAGTGTGTATTTTATTTTATTTCACCTAACCTGTTTAAGTGGCAAACTAGTTCTCATGGTTGCTTAGAACTGGTTCTTTGTCACAACCAGAAAATCCTCTGACTAAGGTGCATCTTTTTTTTGCTGGGCAAGAGGAAGAACTGTTTCTATCTGCTGGAGAGGTGGCCAACAAACAGTTGGTGACTCAGTTTAGTTTTGTTTTTATTTTTAAAAAGGAAATAATTAATATCTTACTGAAAACCAAATGGAATGATTTGTGGAAACTACCAGGACCCCATTGGCCGCTACGACAGTTGGCTACCATGGAGACTGAACACACAGGCACCTCTTTCTGCTACCAGAGAAACGGGTTGTTGCCTGCTTCAAAAATGGTGTGTCATCACAGAAGGCCACTTCAGTGATGGATTGGTTGGCGACTCGTTGAATACGAGGCGCAGAGCAGGCAAGATAACTAGGATGGTTTAGAGATAACCCGTAGGAAAGATCTGTCCACAGCTTTTTCTCAATACATTTATCCCTTCGAATAGAGGATGAATTATGGGCTCTAAACACAGGAGGCAATGTTGCCTTCCACTAGCCAAGCAACCAGCACAATTGGGAGTATATGAGATATCAAGCTTGCAAACGTAGACGAGCGGGCTAGCGACGCGACGCAGGAAAGTTGAAAACTGTTCAACTGTTGTTGCTTCTGTTGTATCCCACACCGAGTGGCGGAAAACATTTGCTGTCATTTTGTGGTTCCTGTGTTTCAAGTGCATCATTTACAGCACGAAATGTACACGCAACACCCATAAAACACTACTGCATTTTTATTTCTGCCCATCTCCGTAGCAACACGTTTGAAACCAGTTAGGTGTCCTAGCAGGCCACTCAGATGGCAAACCACTCGGTCTGAATATCTACATTCAAACCTGAAGTGACGAGGGAAATACAGGTTAGCCGGTATCCGTTACTATGGCAACTAAACGCAGACTAATGGATGGTTATTATTGAGGAGCAACTAAGCACACTGACTTCTGAGAGAGTTTGAAACTCTTTTGAACTTTTTAATTTCCACACGGGATGTGAACAAATCTGCCTTATAATCTTTTGTGTACCTCCTGTTTACAGTGCTGCTGGTAAATACCAATCAAAGACCAGAATCCTGGAGATGTTGTTCCCGCATTCATTTTGTCTCACAAGTCGGAGCTCGGATCAAGACATGACGTTGGCACCCGAGTAGATCTAGTTGTAGTGGCACATTGGGGGAAAACCTGTGGGATTTGCTAGTTGTTCTCACAACAACTTGTTTCTCTCCTTTTTTCTTATGCATTCACACTTTAGGAAACATATTCACAAAAGAAATTGCACATCTCTGTGTGTGCTATTGGCTTAATGTGATATAACTAGAAATAAGCAGTATTCTTCTGCAACAGTCACAACCTGAAGATAAGTTATTGACTTCTGACTCAGAAACTCAAATTTCCAAGTACAAACTTTTGCAGGAAAAATACGAAAGCAGTGGTTTTTATTTTTTATTTTATGGTATGTATTGAGATTTAATCAACTGTACTGTATGTTTTTTATGTTTGCTGTTTTATATACTGCAGTCTTATGTTTTAAGTTTTTTTGTTTCATTTTTGCAGCGCTGAACCAACAGCGGATGACACAGAGCGCTCCGGGGAAACAGTCGGGACAGCTGCCTCCCAGCACCCACGGTGGAGTGATGGCAGGAAACAACCAGCTGAGACTTCAGCAGATCGAGAAGGACAGACTCCGACTGCAGCAGCACAGACCACAGGTCAGCCATCAGTTTGGTCTCGGTGCCTTCATTTCGGAGGGGGGGGACGGAAGGGGCACATTTCCTTTCTGTGTCCTATGAGTCATGGACATTACACGGACCCTCAGTGACTCACAGGCAACAGCTTTATTTTGTTATGGAGTTGTAATGCCTCCTCTTGGTAAGTCATGAATTAAGTATAGTGGTGGATCTTAAGCCTCTTTGATCAGGTTTTATTGTTCAACTATCCTGCCCTGTGAGTCATATGTGGTAAATTTATCACTTCCTTACCGTTCCGCCCACGCAGGGTGGTGCCGCAGCGTCCCCTGATTTACTCAGGACTGTGTCATAAGCTGGAGACTGAGCTTTATGGTTATGAATGAGAGTGCTGGAGATTTTGTTTACCCTGCCGTTTGCTTGGGTTGTTTAAAGTTCCTGGTGTAGGAAGTGACCCATGTATGTACACGCAGCAGACTGTGAGGAGAATACAGCCATCTGACCTTCCTGAGGGGCCACGGAGATCATGTGCTGCAGGTTTCAGCGGTCATGTTGTTGTTGAGTCCTTATCAGGCTCTGCAAAATTAATTTTGTTTTCACAGAAAGGTCTCTGCTGCAGTAGCTCTGTTTCCTGGCTGATTTAAAATTCTTGGCAGATTTTTTTTTTTTTTTTTATTGTTTTTGCTGGAATCTTTTGTCTTGTGGCTTTAATAGCTCCTGCAATTTGATGTGCACAAAACATGATAAAAGTTTAGTATTTTCCAGGAAGATACTACTGTTTCAGCAGTTAAACTTAACAGAAATTTTAAAAATTAGTTTTAAAATATTTTTTTTGTCTTACTGGTCCTGTACTTTAAAGATTAATGAGGAAGTGCCAAAGTACCAAGAGATCCATCTGTTGGATGCACCGATTGCAGTTTTTTGCCCGATCACTGGTCTTTAAAAAGCCTACCCTGCCAATATCAATTTTGGCTGATACCATTTTTTGTCTTTGAAATATTGCTAAGTTAGCAACAACAGGGTGAGTATTGTTAGCCTCACACTTGCAGACATAACCTGATGGGCAGGACTGTCAGCCACCTCTCTGACAGCAGAGCCAAAGGGCTGATTTTTCAGATCTTTACGATCGATTTAAAATGTGATCGTGGATGAGATCCGCTTCACGTGCAAGCGCCAATCTCCCAAAATCAAAGAAATCGGGACCGATTTAATGGTGCATCTCTAGTTGGTACCTCTGAGGTAATGAACAAAAAGCCAACAGTGGTCACTAAAATTACTTGAAACTGACAAAAGTAACAATGAATAAAAACTTATTGATAATTAACCAATGAAAATTAGATGTTGCTTTTGAAGTGGGGTTCAACAGAATAACAACAACAACCAAAAAAACCTAATAAAACAGACATGGACAAAAATGATGGTACCTGTAACTTAACATTTTGTTGTGCAACCTTGGCCCATCTGTAGTGACACTGCCTAGTTGTGTACTATTTTTGTGCAGCCACACATCAGCTAATCAGATGTTTGTGAGTGGATCTGCTTTACTCTGCCGCCTGCTATTGAAAGTGCCCTTCTTTTTCTGGTCTTAACGGGTGACTTCACAGATAACGCTGTGAAACGAGCCGACTTGTCCATCAAGTTAGCCAGAGGCTGATACTGGTCTTGCCTTCCTCATCGAACAGGAAATGGGACTTTTGGTGTTGGATGGAAAGTATGCCTTTCCAGTCTCACTAGAGCAGAGGTTCCCCCCCCGTCACACATGTCGTTTCAACCAGACGGCCATTTGTAATCCATAGGGGGGGGGGCGCAGAAAATGTTTGGAAACCACTGGGGGAGCGCAGAAGAAAAAGTTTGGGAACCACTGCACTAGAGCAAGAAATCCAGGGTGGCGTAATGGTTATGCCTTCCAGAACAGAAGAGCTGCTGCGCTGACACGCCAGTCACTTCTAGTTTGACACAAAGTGCCACATGGAAATCTGTGACTTGTGTTTAAGCAGGACCTGTTTTGCAAAACTGTCAGAATAAGTCATAACCCAAACGACAAGAAAAAAATGTCCCCACGCTTGTTGGGCAGTGACTTTTTATGTAGAAGCGTCACTCCCCACACAGAGCCGGCCTTCCTTTTGGGGTTTTTTTTTCCTGTAAAAGCTGATTCTCAAAATAGTGACAGTGGTCAAGTCATTTCACCTTCCCGTTGAAGGAGTTGAAACAGAACAACGTGACATCATATCCTCAACCTTATCTATAGCAGCATGTGTAGAAAACAATTGTCTTGGACTGTGGCGGCTGGCCTCTTGTGTAACATGATGCTTTATGAGGGGAACAGGAGGGGGTTGTATGGAGCAATGTGTTACTGCAACAGAGGAGTAAGTCCAGTGGTTCACAATTTTTATAACAAGTATCACTGTTTTTAAGAGACGTGTTGGGTTATGTCATAAAAACAAAAATGTAGAAGTGGTTTGATTTTTAACCAAAAGGTGAAATTTCCACATCTGGAGCTTATATAATTTGTAGAAATTACTCCACAAGTTGGAATTCCTTTTGGGAAAATTTAAGTTTTTCCAATCAGAACCTCATCAGAAAATTAGGCATTCATAGAACATATTGCATGCACTCAAATTTAGCAAAAAAAAAAAAAAAAGAGTGCTCACAGACATTGAAAAGAGACCTTGCAAACCTTTACTATCACTGCAAAGAATGCCGTTAATTCTTCAAATTACATAAAATGTAATTTTTGGGACATTTTATCATCATCAAAATTTGTTATCATGACAGGCCTAGTTGTTTGATGTCACGCAAATACTGAATGCCATAATATCCACGACCGACTCTGGTACCATGGTATTGGATAGTTCAGACATATTTTTATGATCAGTTTCTTTCATCGCCCACAGGAGCTTGCTTTGAGAAACCAGCTGCCCACCAGTATGGATCAAGATGGCAGCACAAACCCCATCTCCTCTCCTTTGGCCCAAGATGCTCGGACCATGACTGTCAACAGCTCTGACCCATTCCTTAACAGGTCAGTCTCACACAGAGAGCTCTGTAAAGAAAATGGAGGAAGTCTTCCTCTGTCACAGCAGAATCCCTGACTTGCAAGAGGCCGCCTGCCAAAAAAACTTCCAGTTCTGGTTCGGCTTGTCATGCTTACTGGCTCCTGTGTGAGGGGGATCGGTGCTCTGGGCCGCTTGAGGCCGCATTACGCAAGCTGTCTCTGGGCTTTAACCCTCCTCACATGTTAATGACTCACGCAGACCAGACGGAAGTTTTCCGCACGGCAACGGCCCCTGGTGTACAGCGGCAGCGTTACAGGTCACATCAGAGCTAAAATGGTGGTGCGTGTTATGAAAAGCACTTTGTCGGGCCTTTATTAGATCGGAAACAGCTGCCGCTTCGGACAGACGGCAGAGTTCTCCGCACGTAAACGGAGCAGAGCGTCACAGCGGAGTGTAAATCCGAGCGGTTCAAGCTGACAAAGTGTGGAAAGAGCTGAATAGCAAGCAGGCTATGAGAGCATGTGGTCCAGTCAGTAGACAGGCCAAACTAATCCCACCCCCCCTCGTTCCCTCCGCTCCCCCTGCTCTCACAAAGGCTTCATTCATCTTGCCTCTGCCATACTCTGCCTACATATTTTTCTGCTAATTAGTATAGACTTGTCAGATATCATCTTTGCTCCTTTTGCCTTTTTGTGCCTTTCATTGTTGCTTCTTTTCCTGTTTTTTGGGTGAAAAAGTGAAGTAGGTGTGTGAGAATTTAACAGATCAAATGCAGAAGGTTCTAGTTCCATTTGATGGCAAAGGAAAGTTCGATCAATTCGAGAAAAACTTTTCAAGTTTCACCTTGATTTTAATTGGTTTTAGGCCATTTAGGGTTCTCCAGCCTTCACAAACCAAAGAGCTGTTTTTACCCTCAGCCCAGTTAAATAAAACTCTCCTGAAAAGACAACTTAAAAATGTTAATAAATATCTATTATTCTAAATCTGTTAATTTTTCAAGAATCCTAATATTATTTCTGTTTTTTTTTTATTATTATTTGTTTTAAAATAAGAACAGAAACATAGAACGCTGACTACAAAAAGAGGACCGATTCATTTTCTTCTACAGGATGTTGATGTGTGAGAAAAATTATGACGGTAAAAAAAAACAACTTTGTTTCAGAGGCAATAATGACAAATGATAGTTGCTTCATTTTATTGTCAAAATCAAATGTGGGATTAATTTCATGGAGAATATTGGAGAAAAAAACTGCTAAATCATACATTTGTGATTTAGCAAATGTATGATTGAAAAAAAGTTGGTTCTGCACTATTTTTAGCCAGTTTACTAGGATCCATTGTGGATTCTCTAGAACCGCAGGCAGTTTCTAATTGATGTTTTGATGTTTGTGGGTTTCCAGCGGGACCTACCACTCCAGGGATGAGAGCACTGACAGCGGGCTGAGCATGAGCAGCTACAGCGTTCCTCGCACTCCAGATGACTTCCTGAACAGCGTGGATGAAATGGATACAGGTGAGTGACGCGCCGGTGCATCCCCTGCACCGTGATGGCAACCAAACGGACAAGACATGTTATATTTGGCATGCCTACCTGACAAAGGACAAACTACTCTTAGCTTTGCAGACCATTCTGATGCCGTGAGGCTTTCTGAACCCAGCACCTTAGCCAGTCAGCATTTGTGGAATATTTCCGATTCTTTTCTAATGGAAGACAGATCTGGACTGCAGGCTGACCAGTTAGGCGATCACAGAACCTCTCTGAAGCAAGACTTTCGAAGTCATACAGTGCATTAATTTCACACAAAAATTACAAACAAATTCATATGGAAAATATCTCCCCTTGATCGTAGTTTACGTTTCCCTCAAATTCTTGGACAAAACCCAAAGTTTCAGCCATGTGGAAGTCATCCGAGCCGTTGGTACAGCCGCATACCGTCAGCAGCGCCACCTTTTGCACTGCCTGCTGATAACGAGCCAAAGTTTTGGCAGCAAACTTGTGGGTAAAGTCAGGGTAAACACCTCTGTAACTTTCCCACATTGTGTCACGTTACCACCACACACATCAGTGTATCTCATTCTGGTTTTATGTTGCATGTCCATACAAAGGAGTGCAGAAAAACGAAGTGAAAAATGCAGTTTTCAAAATGTTTTTTTAAATTGAAAATATGAAAGATTTGAATTCTGTCCCCTTTTCACCTGAAAACTGCAGCCATTTGTTGGGTGTCAGACTTCCGCTGATTTGTGAGTGGAGTCCTCCGTTGTGCTGTTCTGTGAACACAGAACAAACGGCATCATGGAGTCAGAGGGACGCGTTTTGTTCCGCATTATAATAATGCAACGCTCAACCATCTATTTGTTCATCACATAAAATCAAGACAAAATGCATTGATGTTTCTGGTGCAGTTCAGCTGTATTTATATGTTAACAACAAATGTAGTCTTGAAGCACTTTACAAAATATCAAAGTAAAATTTGTAGCTTGACAAGATGTCAAAAAAAATGTCATCTTCTGTCCATCAGGAGACTCTCTCCCAGCCTCCATGGCGTCGCAGCCCAGCCGATTCCCCGACTACCTGGACGGCATCCCCGGAACCGACGTGGACCTGGGCACCCTGGAGGGCGAGAGCATGGCGGTGGAAAGCGAGGAGCTGATGGCTAGTCTGCAGGAGCCGCTGAGCTCCGACATCCTCAGCGACATGGAGTCTGTTCTGGCGGCTACCAAGATCGACAAGGAGAACTTCCTGACATGGTTATAGAGGACCCGAGCGGAGCGGAGGGGTGGGGCCGGGCGGGGCGCTCCGTACCACCTGTTCCCCCGCTGCGCTCTGAACCGTCGCCTGCTCTGATCTCTGAAGGATTCATAGATGCTTTTACCAGACATTTCAGCGAGCCTCTCTGAACTTCTGTGCCTCTCAGCATGTAAGGCCTAACCTCTTTTCAGGCAGTATTCTGATCTTTTCACTTGTGTTTTTATCTTTTTGAATTTGTCTGTGTCTTCAAGGCTGGCCTATGAACAGACATTTATGCAAGGGCCCCAAAAATTTTCACAGGTCTGTCAGCTTATTTACCCAGATGGTAGCTGAAGTGACCAAGTGCACGTGTTCTTCTGCAAGGACTGCCCATGTTGCCTCCCACCTGGAGCCTCTGGAGCCTCTCTTGTTTTTGCAGTACATCACCAAGCATCTGTGTTTGGGACTATTGAATTTAGTTAAATAGCTTTATGTTTGCCTCAAACCTTTTTTTTTTCTCTCCTTTCAACGAGCCTGAAAAACCAAAAATGATGTATTCGAAGCATAAAGAACAATACTGATTTGGAGTGAAGGTAATTTGAGGCGCGATTTGGAGTTGGTGGCTTTGCTTTTCGTTGGGGTGGGGTTTGAAACTGGGGACCGACTACATCGCTGCTTGGCTGTGCCAGCAAGTCTAAGTTAAACCTTTAATAGATCAAGTGCCTTCGGATGTATTTTTTAAAGACGCGAGCAACTCGAACAATTTACCCAGTATGTATAATGCAATGATAGGCGTCGGGCTGTATTCATGCATATATAAGCCGCATTTTAATTGTTTTAATAATCAAACTGTATTATGTTTTATAAACACAAGGTGATTTGTCGGGGATCTTTTTCTTACCCGTAGCTTCTTTTTCTCTCATTCTTATTCAAGCCTAACCTAAAAAGTGTGTTTTATTTGTAGCTTGTTACACATGTATAATAGTTTAGATTAAAAAAAGACGTTTTTTTTTTTTTTTGGTGGGAGGGTTGAGGGGGGTTCACTCGTTTTTCTTCCTTTAATAACTTCACAGGGTCAGCTGTTATCAGAGCACCAGATTCCCTCTGCCAAGACACAAGCTAGATTGTTTGGACTCGTTTTGTTTTATCTATCTTCTGATTCTCTCTTCTTTTGCTTTGCAATATATATTCGCCTATTAGTGTTATCGTGTTTTTATTCATCGCAAGCTGAATTTTTATCCTTTCTCTGCTAAATATTAACCAAAAAAAAAAAAAAAAACAGGAAGATCTGTAGACTCCACAGATATTATAGCTCGAATCAGTTCAAGCATGTGACCGGATATGTGAATTTACAGTGTTTGAAACTGAGCGCCCTCCTCGCAGCCCCGCTCCGCGCGATGTTGCGTTGTGCGTCTAAAAAGAAGCAACGGTTTGGATCGGCTGGGCTTGGACAAGTTAAAGCAAGTTTTAGAGTCATGTTTAAACGTAACCAAGAAGGAAAAGGGTTTGGCTTATTGCTGTAAGTTACACAGCGTTTGTGTGTGTGTTTTGTTTGATGTTTAATGGGATGATTCACAAACAATCATATATTTCAGTCACGATTCCAAAGATGTTTTTTTTTTGTTTGTTTTTTTTTGTCTATTTTGAATTATTTTTTTTGTTATTTTTGTGTTTTGATTCTAATGAACACTACCCTTATTTTTCACTTCCATCGTCGGGATCGAGAAATGTCAATCGGCCTCCGTGTGAACAAAACCTTATAAGCTAATGGGAAGTTTTCTGTATGTTTTAAGTGTTATCGGACGCATCTGACTAGTTCTGGCGGAGAGGTTCTGAGGTTTCTGAACAAAGGAGAAAGTGATTTTCGAACAGCGAGCGCATGTTTACATAATTTTACAAAAATGCTCCGGCCGCTGTGCAGGCGACACACTGACAGCTTCTCTCGTGATCACGGCGACGTTTACATGGTGGCAACATCTGCGTATTAACTGCAGTAACCTTTTGGATAATCTTGATGGAGGCCTTGCTGGATGGCACGCTGATTCTGTTGCCAGCCCAACAGTGAATTGATATAGCATTAACTTGATGGAAAACATGCTTAAACATGTATCTTAGATTAGAGGACATTAACTTTTTTTTTTATTATATTTTTTTAATTTGTTATTTTGTGTGAGAACTTCATTGTAGTACTGATTTTTACTGATCATGAGACTATGTTTTAAAACAGTGTTTGGAGAGAACAATGCAACTAAAATAAGTGGTACCCCACAATGCTTCCATAACACGGCTAGTTTTCATTTAATGCAACGACGCTTTTTTTTTTTTTTGTTTTTTTTTTTGTCACACAACTGATTTTTATTCTTACCTAGAAGAGTGTAAATTGTAAGAAAATTAGCTGTTGACTCATCTTAGCGGTAGAACTAATCACAAGTTAATTTGTTTTAGTATTTAGAGTTTTCTAAATGCACATGAAATGAATTTATATTCGGTAATGAATGTTCATTTTTGATATGTGCATGTGTTTTGGAACAATAAATTCTGTTACATTATACATTTCTTTATATGATACTTTGAAATTGGCCTTAAATAAAGTATATACGTTGTTTTAAATTTCATTTGTGTTGTTCAAAGTGTTTTTATTCATTTATATATAATTATACACACTTTCTGCTCTTTCCTCACCTCTGCAAAGCTTCATCAAGTTTTATGAAACTTCTGTTGTAATGCAGTACATCTGGAAAGTATTAACTTTTTTCACATTTTGCTATCTTACAGCCTTATTTGTAGTTGTATTAAATTAATTTTATTCACAAATGCCCTATTATTTCAATGTATTTTTAGAGTATTTTGCAAGTTTATTAAAAACAGAAAAAAGAGCAATCTGAAAATGGCTGAACAGACTCCTGCGTCCAACCTGATGGAGCTGGAAAAGAACTTCAAAGAAGAAAGGATAAAACTGCCAAAAGTCAGGTGAGGTAAGCTGGTGGCATCAAAGGCTCGAGGCTGGAATTGCTGCCAAATGTGGATCGATAAAGATGTGATTAATTAGATGAAGGTGATTTCTTGGGTTTTCTCATTTTAATTTGCAAAAACTTTTTTTTCCCCCCCACATTGAACCATACTGAAAGGCTTGAAAAGACACTTTTTCATGTGATTTTACACTGATAAGGTTCAAAAGTTCAGTGAACGAATCTTCAGCTATACAAATGGAAACATTCCAAGTATAATTTAATATTCAAAAAGGGACTTTTCTCTCAAAAAACAAAATATAAGACCCGTTAGATGAACTGTGAAAATTACTGCTTAAAAATACTGATCATCTCCCCCTTATGGTTGGTTACAGAATTGCAGAAATGAGTCACCAGCAGTAACTCGGCTCTCCAGAAGCCTCATCACCAGCCGTTCATTTGCTCCAGGTGTGTTAGAGAAGAAATGCATCTAAAAGCTGGTAGCTCTCGGCCTCCAGGCCTCGGTCTAAATCTTTTAACGTCTCTGTGGAGGGATTTTGGTCCACTTCGCTTTGCTTTAATTCGGACACACTGTAAGGGTTGTTGAGTATTAGCGTCCTGTTTACGGCCATGCCACAGCATCTCATAAGGTTTAAGAAGAACCTTCTTTTTTTGTTTGTTCGTTTTCATGAGCCTTTAGCAGACAGCTGTTGTGTTTTCAAGCTCTGACCTCCTGCTAAGCTACAGCTCCTTCCCCACGGCGGAGCCTGCTGTGGAGCGCAGGCTAGTAACCATGGCCACCGATGAAGGCGGATAAACACTGTAACGGTAAGTTGTTTTAGCACATCTACAGTAAACCAGTCCTCCACGACACGCTAAGACCCCCGGCTCTGATTGGTTGTTTCTGCAGAGGAGCTATTATTTTTTTTTCTCCATAAGTCTGCTATACAGGACATATGTTAAAAATGCAGCTCAAATTCCGTGTTTGATGTTGGATATGATGTAACAGGAGTCACACTTTCCATCAAGTTCTACTTTTGTTTGGAATATTTAACACAAAGATCTTGGGGGGTATTGGAGATGTTCTGGCAAACGTGAGCTGAATCTTTGTGTTCTGTCACCAGAGGTTTTCGTCAGCTGGGGATAGTAAGGTAAGGCCTGCAGCCTTAGATGCTGCTTTGTGTGTTTCTGTGACTTCCTGGATGATTTTCACGCTGTTGGAGAAAATTTGAATGGTGGGTCATTCCTGAAGTTTTAACACTGTACTTTTATTCTCCATTTGTAGATAATGTTACTCATTGTGTTTATCTAATTTGTTCTTTAATTTCATTAGACTGAGATCTGTGCCTACTTCACATTGTCAGACCAGTTCCATCCAAGTGATTTTTTTTTTATTCTACAAATCAACCTACACTACAGTGAGGGTGTAGTGTGTGAGACCCATCTTAATGTTAAGTCTTGTTAAAGAAAAAGAAATAAACTTCTATTTTATTCAAATAAATTTTTATTAATTACATGTGTTATATTCCCTAATTACTATTCCGAGTATTAAATATCACATAAGAAAAATAAGGGTTACATTATTTAAAACAGCATTTTAAACTACCACAGATGAAAATGACCGAACAATAAGAGGAAACGTTTGTTTTGGAAAATTCAGTGTGGTAAATACTAGAACATGCTAAATGTGGGGTAAGAAACTTAGAGAAGTAACTTCCTTTTCACAGTGTGTATTATTTTTTTTTTTTTGATGTTATAACAGCACTAATGCATGAAATACAGTCCACAAAAACAAAAACAGGGAAGCAGTTTCTTGGGAATATACCGGAGACAAATATGTACTGCGAACACAAACATACATTTATTTCACAGTAAATACAAAACCAAGAAAATCTGTTTACATGAATAACAATTAATTTGGATTTATAAAATTTTTTTGAACAATACTTACAAATTGTAACCGTTCTACATTACAGATATAAACTCTAAGATTTGAGCTGCAGGTGCATTTTTCTGCAGCCTGTAATCTAAACTTATGAGTGACTTCCCAGAATCTCGTCCAGGTTTATATCTTTCATCCAGTCGTCATTCCCAGAGCCCGATTTAAGCAGGGAGTCAATGAAGTCTGAGTCCGCATTGATTCCAGGGACTGTGTTGTCCCCTTCCGGGAGGAAGTCGAAGGTCAGACGGTTGGATCTGTTGTTCTGGTAGCTGCTTGAACCGGGACTGGCATCTGGAAAGCTGGCTGCCGGCACCCTTTGTTCAGGAGAGGCCTGGCTCAGGTTTCCCAGAGGGGATGGACAGCCCATCATGGCCTGACTCGGTCTGGCTTGGCCTGCGTCTCCCAGGGTCGGCATCCCGGCGTCTGGTGCTACCTGGTTGGGGGGTCCGACGTGCCTCTGCTGGTATGGGTGGTTCGGCAGGTCTTGCACACCCTGCAACTGCAGTGGGTTGGGCAGACGCCGAAGTCCAGCTGCCACTTGCTTGTTGGCTGACCCCCAGCCCAGACTGACATTTGTCATCGAGCCTCCTAGATTCTGTACTGGCACCCTGGAGGAATGCAAGTCAGCTGTTGCCCTCTGATGTTGCACACCTGTTACATTGTTCATCCCAAAGGATTTCCCCTGTGTGCCTGGTGCCAGGAATCTCGGTTTACTTTGACTCAGTCCTATACGACCGTGACTGTTTTGCTGCTGGAACTGGCTGATACAGGAACTTGGATGGCAGTCTGGCCTGATACCGAATCTGCGATCCGATGGCAAAGGGCTCATCTTTGAAGTAGGCCCGCTTGAGAGTTGGCAAGATATGGACTGCAGGTTATTGTCAGGACCATTGTTGGGAGACTGTGCAGGGTTCTGACCTAAAGAGACATAGAAGTTTCAGGATTACCAGCCAGGATTTACGCTGATGCTAATTTGCATGAAATGTTTAGAAGTACCTGGAAAGATATTTGCTTGCTGAATCCCCACCAAGCTTCTCGACTGCTTGTAATCCGGAGGTGGTCTTGTGAGATGTCGACTGAACTGGTCATGTGTGTTATCTTTATCCTGAAAAGCAGAGAAAAAATTAGACATGTACAATGGCTGCTTAACAGATGTATGACTGAAATGATTAATAGGATTAATCTTGAAGTATCAATTACGGAAATAATCGTCAACTAATTTATTAATCGATAATAAATAAATCAATTTGTTCTATCCAAAACTACTCACTTGGCAGTTTTAGCTTCATCTGCTTCCAATTCTGTACAAAAGTCTCCTATTAATCACCTTTTGCTATCAAATTATTAATCAGTTAATCCAGATAACATTCACCAGATTATCTCCACAGAAGTTTTGTTTTTTTCGCGACAAGTGATCAGTGTACACTGAAGGAATGCCATGGCATTGCATTTTATGCAATGACTTGTTCGCTTTTTGTCACTTCTAATGCATTCCTAACACTGAATAAAAACAGTTTAAGTGGTTTATAAAAAAATCTGAAGACTGTGTCCATTTTTAAAAATCAGATTAATCGAGAAAAATAACTGATAGAAAAACTGATTACTAAAATAATTGTTAGTTGCAGCCGATGCTTGACCAATGCCGAACAGTTCTCTCAGCTCTAAATGCAGCTTACTGTGTTGCTGATGGGATGCTGCAGGTTAACCTGTCTCTGCATGGGTGGGCCTCTGGCCGGGCCTTTCTGCTGGTTGCTAGGCGCTGACGGCTGTGGCTGTGATTGGGCTGACAGGACTCCTAAGCTTCCACTGGTGGGCATCCTGGGGCCAGCAGGAACAGCCTTTATAGAGGAAAAATAAAAGATTATTTAGTGAAGAATCTTAATGGAGTTGAATATCATGTGAAAGCTCATTTATTTCAGTAAATTATTTTTAAAAAGTGAAAATCATTCTATAAATTCATCACACTGAGTGATGTGTGTGATGATGTGTGTTTATTTTTGATGACAACAGCTTATAGCTAAAAAAAAAGCCTAAATTCACTTGCTCATAATTTAAAATGTTAAAGACGAATAGAAACATTTTTAATACAGAAATGTCTATCTACTAAAAACCTATCCATGTACTTTACAGTCAATAAATTATTGCATAATTGCAGCATAGTGTGGAGGAGAAAAGCCTGTGAATCTGCTGAGGATTAATGCATCGGATGCATGTCTCTCATCCTCCATTTGATAATATTTAATATATATTTCTCTGGTTCAGTAGTGACCCAGCTCAAGATGCGGAAGAGTTCTAGTCTATATCATAGATGCGCCTATAGGTGGTGACTCTTGAAGTTCTGACTCCAGCTACAATTCAACAATTCAAGCCTTAAGTCTTAGAATAGATTTGTGCACCTTTTTCTATGACATTTTTCCTTCCACCAAACCTTTCAGTAAAATGCCTGAATACACAGTCTCTAATTGGTTCTCTAATTTTTCAAATAAACTATATTTTATGACTAATTAGCTATATCAGAGTTTACATCAATTAATACTCATTCTGTGTTGTGAATCTGTAGAGTAAATTCCTGGTTTTTGAATCAAATTGCCTAAATGGATAAATGTATAAAAATTTGTCATGGTATTTGTGAAAAGTGCAGATGAGTGTATAAAATATTCACTTCCTGCCAAGAGTCTTGAAATGAGCCACAAGAAGGAAAATCTGCATCAATGCAAAAACGCATATCTACCACTAGAGGGCGAAATCCTACAAGCTATTAAATGTCTGTGTGAAAGATGCTTAAGACTCCAGAATGTGGTCAAGGCTACTCCCTCTGCAGATGAGAAAGGGAGACTCAGAGAGAGAGAGAGAGAGAGAGGCTTTTTTTGGAAAGGGGATGAGCAAAAGAGAGAGGGAGCGCGTCCTCCTCAAGGCCTGCCTCTCCCTTGATAATTGTGTCTAAAGAGAGTGGAAAGAATCCCTGAGACAGCAGGAAATGTGTGCCGATGGGAAGTTAAGCGCCAGCGCCGTGACCACCTCCATTTAATAAGCTCTCCTTTACTGATCACTGCGTGCTTTTGGCAGGGAGACATCCCATCCTCTGCAAATCCATTTGGCTCGTGACGCTGATTAAAATGTTGTAGCCTGCCACACTCGGATTTAATTGAGACATCCAAAAACTCCTCCTCGTATGTTTTTGCAGATAAGCTCTCAGCCTCGCTGCTGTTTGAGATCTTATATTTTCTAGGCATCAGCGCGGGCCGTTCAGGACGCACCAAGAGAACCACGCGTTGGGCTTGCAATGTGAGGACACCCTCACATTGCTCACGAAGGAGGTTAATGTGCACTAAATCCAAGTCAACACATTGTGTGTACAGTGTCAGTCATTGTGTTGACTTAAAATGTTTCCCAGGGTGAAATGGATTAGAAATCCAACAGCGCATTTGGAAAAAGCTATTAGAAGACATTTTTAGCAGAAAATGAATAACCACAGGGCGGTGATTTTGTGATCCCTCAAAAGGAGTAAAAAAAAGAAAGTGTTTATGTATTTTCACCGCATGAGTGCTTTTGAGCGAATCTAAATGAATGGTCTGACATTGTGAGAAGTAACAACTCGGATTAGAGAATGACGGGGGTAAAGCTCATCATGACTTCCAGAGAATTGAACATTTTCTGCCTCTCTGACTTACTTTTACCCACACAGTAAATCAAGGCTGGTAATGACGTTGAGTGAAACATCAAAACGGATCTCTCCTTTCCGCTCTGAGGTTCTGATTCACTCTCTCCAATTAGCGATTGTGGAAGAACTGGTGACCATCACTGAAAAACTGTAAAGGGCTCACTCCACCTCACCCTTGTTGTACGTAAATATCCAAAGAAGGGGTGTTTTTAGCTCGACTCGGTTATCCTTTAATCCTGATGTGTCATAAAGCTGTTTTCCGTGCCCCCCTCTGCCCCCCTTTCCCGTTTTTATTCTTCCCAAGCTTGTTTTAAATGAATACCACATGTGGCTCAGGCTCGAGAGCGAGGGAGCCGAGTGATTTAGCCCCTCATCCTGCGGCTGCGCGGGCCTCGCCTGCTCTCACACTGCACTTCCTCCAGTCTTCTCAGGATGCTGTCCCTGGGGAGGGCCTCGGCATCTGGACTTGGCCGCTGCTCCCTTTCCCAGGAAACAAGTAGTCCCTTCACAGCGCTGCCAGAGTGACCTGCAGGCTCAACCCACTGGGCCCTGCTCTAAGTCTTACTGAAGGATGTGGTGCCACAAGATCATCAGCAAAATGTTTCGGACATATGGACAAGTTTTGGCAGGTTAGCTCTTTCTTGTAGCCATTTCCTGACTTGTAAAGATCAACACACATTACTTGAATGCCTCGTTCTGTTCTTTTGACCTTCCCATTTTGACAATGGGTAAGAGCAATTACCCTGTTTCTAGTCAGATTTTTTTTTTATTACATAAGCAAGAAGTTACTTCCTGTGTCTCTTTAAGAACTACAACACAGGTCGCTATTCGGTAATATGTCTCACTGCTGAAAGTCTCAAGGTGCATTTACAGCAGTCCAGTTTTGTCTGTTTTAATCAAATTCTAGTTTTTGTCTAGAAAGTCTGGTTTATTAACAGAGGCGTAAAAGTGCAGTTGAACACTGATGTGGACAAAAAACCTAGATCTCAGATCAGCTGGAGTGAACTTTGGTGTGGTATTAATCTGAACGCCAATCAGACTGGAGACCGCTCCAAAAGCAGGAAGTGAACCGGGTATTCTGGGTAAAATACAACCTAAACAAACAAGAGTCTAGCGATAGCAGGAGAAATGGCTCATTGTCTTTTGCCAAAAACAAAAGAAAAATCCTACTCCATTTTTGTTTGCATTTTGTTAAGAATGAACTTGTGCTCATGACTTTTTCAGAGGTTTTTGTGTCCACCGCAGGCAGACAGGGTTTTCAAAGGGTTTAGGTCAAAGTGTGACACAGTGCAGCGTGAAAGAGAACTACATCATCAGAAGACACAACAAATGAACCGAGTCTGCCGGACTCTCACCAGTGAGGGTGTGGAAATGCTCTGAATGAACTCTGATCATGTCAGTGCAGAAACAATTTTCTTTACATTGATTCTTATATCTCAGAGCTTCTTCTGTATTTCGCTCAGTAATAGATTTCACACCGAACAGTTTTAAGTGTCGACATGACCTGGAAGTGCTTATTGTGGTGCATTCACGGATTGGAAAAAGCTAAAAAAAACATTTGAGTTCCTGATTTGCTGGTTAAAGAAGCTCATTTCCTGTAGTCACTTTCTAACTTAGTATAAAGACTAACAACCATCTGCCTCACTTGAATGAGATGTTTTCTTGTCTCTTATTTTGAATACCTCGTACAAGCACATGCATTTTTGTATGACAGGAAAGAGACAGTTGTGAATGATTAATTTAAGGTTTCAACTGGAAGAGAGCCCCCAATTTAAATTCTGCATGGGGCCCCAAACAGTTATTGATCACTCCCGCCTTCATGTAAACGAAAATATATCAATAGGCACAGCAACGCTACAATCACAAAACATAATTCAGAAAGTGAATATTAGAAATAAAACTATTAAAAGTCTTAAATAAACACCAATCTGTGTCGGTTCAAATGAAGGCTCACAGATTTGTTCAGCGCAAGGAAGCCCACTGCTGGTCACTGCTGTTACACAGACGGATCAAGCTGTTCTTTCAGGACTTTTATTTCTCTGGCATTATTAATTCAGCTCAGAAAAGATTTTGCTCTTTTTTTTTTTTCTCCTTTTCCTCATTAGCTGGATTTTTAACCCTGTCCCAGCTGACTGCGGCAGACAAACACTATTATCTGCATTTTTGAACAGACGTTCTAAAATTACAATGCGGCTCTTGTTTTTTTGTTTTTTTTCCTGTTACTTTTTCAACTTCAATATGAGCGCTGTGTTTGCATAATTTGTTCAAAACAAAAAAGCTCATGGAAAATACAAGATCATAGGGGAAGATGTCCCAGAAACTTTACCCCCTTTGAACTTAACTGCAGTCTCATAACATCAATATCTTAAGTCTTGAGGTTATTCAAAGGGCTTTGGAAGAGTCTGTTTCTTTTTTTTTTTTTTCTAATTTATTATAGTACATTTTTAAGGCTTTTTTTAATGATGCGTTAGTTTTTGTGTTCTGAAATCATTTCAGCTTGTAAACATTAAAATAATACAGTTCTATGTCTTTGTCGTCTAGGTCTGCGTGACACAGAGAATGGTGCCAAAAATATAAAACACTGACAAGAGAGAAAATGTGAATTTATTTCAACCAATATATTGGAAATCCCATTAGCCTCAATATAATCTTCCCTTTCCAACAAGCTGAATATTTCAGTTAAAACCAGATGTTTAAATATACTGTTTAAAAACTTCCTTTCTGTGTCACTGAAAAATTAGGCACATTAATAAGAGAGTATGTAGTGAAATGGCTGCTCATAGTTTTGTTAATGGCATCAGTAGAAATCAGTATTGTTCAATGAAAACTGACAGAACATAACCAAAATCCCAGATAGCCCAGACATCACTTTGACGATCGTCAGGATTGTTGCGGATGACGTCCGCGTTGACAGGTCTCCTCCTATTGTCCCAGCTAAGCATTCGAGCCGTGTCAGCACGAGGAACGAGCAACGGCTGTTGCTGTCGGTGGGATGGAAATGTCATAAAATAGAAAGAGCTTCTCTGTACCTCTCTCTTTTAGCTCTCGTCGCACACAAGGCTGCTGCATTTAAAAATCAGGTCAAACTGAATATCCTGCCTCTGGCGGCTCTGACATGCTGGTAAAACGACTCGCTATGGCTGTATCGCTGGAATCCCACAGCGTGTTTGGATAACGGTTTCCAGCTTCTGCCTCCAGTTTGCTGTAAATTCAGAAGCCCATTCAGACATCTGCAATGTCATTTTGCCAAAATAACACCAAGTTTAATTTCATATGAGCTGAAATTAAATTTAATGGAATGGGCAGAGACACTGCAACATATATATTTTTTGTAATAACGATTCTATACGTTTTTAAATATGTGCTTATCAATATAGAAGTACCGATAAAAATATATAAATATTGTGAAAATAAATTGATCATTGCACATATATTTCAACCCTTTCTTTCTTATAATTTTGATGATTATGACTTGCAGATAATGATCCAAAATTCAGTGTCTCCTAAATTTTGGGTGTTGTATAAAAGTTGAGTGGAAGGAAAAAGTGCGGAAGGAAAAGGCGCCCACAAAGGTGAGACAATCTCCTCCTTGCCACAGAGCATTAATGCGGTAACTCACGATAAATGATCCCCGACCACATACTGAGTGTATCGAAATGAGCATACTTTTCAGAAACCTTGTATTTCTATTTAAAACATAATTTTCTATTTGATCTTGAATAATATTGTACATTTTTGAGACAAAGTCTTTTGAGCCTTCGTTATCTGTAAGTCATAATCATCAAAGTTACAACAGAGACTTGAAATATTTCATTTAATATTTAATGCAATGGATCTATTTTATGAGTTTCACTTTCTGAAATTAGTGGAAAAAATACACATTTTTATGTTTGCACATAAAACTTTAGTAAAACTTGCATGCGTTTCGTTAACTTACACTTTTGTATTATGTTTCCCAAAGTTTCGTTTATTAGTTTTAGCTGTATTTCTAGTTTCTTATCCTAATCATGTTTAGTCTACACGGCAGGCTGAAATGACTCTTGGTGCATTTTCACCTCTATTTCTGTATGATTCCTATAAGCTTTATGATTTAATGTAAAGGTTTAATCGGATAATTGTGGCGCTGCCAGGCATCTGGAAATCATACATAAAGATAAACCAGATGCAGTATGTTTGGAGGCACACATTACATATAATGTATATTTACCTCAACTACCTAAAATGTTGTGAGATCAGAAGCTTCCAAAGTTGTGACATCATCATGTTGACTTTTACAGAAAACTTTTAAAAGCGTAGCAATCATTGTGTTGGTCAATGTCTGAATATGAAGTTAACAACTTATTCTTATACTTCTATTATTCTGACACCGAATAAATGCACTGCTATCCTGATGAATAATGTATATTTGTTTCCTCTTTTTTTTTTTTTTTGTATTTGTGGTTTACAAATGTGTGTGGTTTTTAAGAAATGTATTTATTTTATAATTTTATATATTTTTTTACAAATTGTAAGCAATCTTGTTATTGTCCGTCTTGCCTCTTTCACGTCTTGTGTGATTTTAATAATTTGATCAGTTTTTTAAATTGTTTTTTGTATAGCTTGGATGGAGGTCTGTTTTTAATACATCTTATGTTGCAGAAAGTTGCATGAAAGATGCAAGATTGACTGAAGAACATCTAGATAGTAGATGAAGAGAGTAAAAGTATGATTTGCCATTTACTCTTGTTTACTTTGATGTCTATAACTCCCTTCCTTTTCTCCTCCTTATCCCACCCATCCTCCCCTGGTCGCTCAGGCTCTTCCCTTGATCTGCACACTTTTTACAAGAGCTTTCTGTGTGGCTCACATTATCATTTCACACAAAGGCAGTCACAGATAGTGTTGGCGCATAAAATGAAAGAAGGGACAGTCTAAATCTCCTCCAATCATAACAAATCAGCGATTCAACCTCCGGCACCAGGCTAAGAAGATTACTGTCATTTTCCACCACTTGTCCCTTGTAGCTAACAACCTCCAATTAGCAAATCCCGCTGCGCATATCTGCGCCCTGACAGGGAGCCACCGCGACAAGCAAAGAAATTAGAAGTCCTGCATGTTAATTCGCCATGCTCTGGCAATCTGTGTCAACGTCAAAACACTTGCAGGGGACAGACGTTTCGAAGGGACTCGCAGCAGCCAAGGCGCAGACGTTAGGAAGAGCAGGTCCCAAAACAAACAGAACCACATTAGAGCCGTTTGAGGCAGCGGGGCGGCTGCAAACCGGGGGAAACTGACTGAAGACGACTCCAAATATGAAGTCTGGCTAAGCAGTGTGTTACTTTTACTGTGCCTAAAAGTAATTTTGCTTTCAAATGGTATTTACATGAGTTTCATAGCAACACTACAGATTATGGATGTAATTGTAAACAATTATCTTAAGTTTTCAATATTTGGCGTTACATTCCGTGCACGACACACTTGCTAGCTTCTCTGTGAGATTTGTAAAAATGGATAAATACTGTAATTCATCTACTTTTCAATGCATTAAAAACTGAAAAATAGATTTTAAAAAATCTAACTTCTAAGTTTTTAGTTTTAAAATTAAGAAATCAGTGTTGCCAACAACAATGCTGGTGGTGCAAATAAATGTAACTGAAACATTTTGTAATTTTTCCTTCTCATTTTACAATGATCAATGTTTAGGAAACATCTAATTACTAATCTGTGGCTAGGGCACAAAAATGAATCTATTCAAGTGATTTTATTAATTTATTATTTTTAATTGATTTTGTGTATTTCGTACGGTGTCCTTGAGTGCCGGGAAAGGTGCTTTCAAAAATATAAAATGTATTAATATTGACCTGTCAATACTGACTGACTGTAACTTCTCTTTAAAAACTGAAATGAGAACGTATAAAAACATGAGTAATTTTCTTCCCAGTTTTCCTGCCACCATTAATTCTTCTTAGTAGGAGCAAAGGTAACAAGGTAATCCGAATAGCTTTGTTGGCCAAGATTGTGCAAAAAAAAAAGGAATTTGACTTAATTTTCAAGCACTCAACATACAGCAACACAGGTGTAAATGTTTAAACTTCATGACAAAGCAAGGATAAAAGAACAATACATCTGTATTTGCAGTCAATCTTCTTTGCTTTTTTAAAAAATTTTCCAGTGAGTGTTACATTTTTTTTTCTAATGGTAAAAAAATTACATTACAGAGTCGACATTTTAAATTGTCCTCAGCATCACATTAGGGATTAGCAGTGTACACTCCACTGGTATTTGTAAAATACCAGTCCATGGGTATTTGATGACAGCGGCCACTGTGGCTCAGTGGGAAGAGTAGAGATTTTGTGGTCAGAGGTTTCTGGGATCAATTCCAGTTTTCTTACCACATGCAAGTGTGGCCCCCGGACGAGGCTCTAAACCCCAGGCTGCATATCGATGGATAAAAGTGCTACCGGGTGAAAGTGACTCTAGCACTTTGAGTGATCAGAAAAGTGCTGTACCAAATGTCAAAGACATCCAGGGTGTTGCATAATACGACATTTGCAAATTAAAGCTTCTATAAACAGTCATGTAATTAAAAACTGTTTTGCATTTTTATGGAACAAACTTTTAGGAAACTGTAAAACAGCCGAAACACTGAGTTCCTTTAAATCAAGGCTAAAACCCCATTTGCTTAGAGTTGTCTTTGATTCTTAATATATTTGATGTATATTTGCTTGATTATTTTCATGGTGGCATTTGACAAAATCTAATGTTTTTTGCTGTTTCATAATTAAACACTATTGTGTTTTTATGGTGTAAAGCACTTTGAACTGCCTTGCTGCTGAAATGTGCTAATATGCAAACACACTTGACTTAATCCAATTGTTCTTGATGAGGACAATCAGCTCTGTTCTATTTGTGAAAAGTATTTCATGTGTAGAATTAAATGAATTTTATTGTTTTCCATTCAGGTTTTCAAGCTTAAATCTACATTTTATAATCTCGAAAAGGAAATAATACCCGACTAGAGGTCTTACCTGTTGCTGCTGAGACATTCTGAATGGCAGCCCAGCAGAAACCGACTTGGGTTGTAAACAGACGCCACCCGACGTCGAGATCTGTTGGTTCTGGAAATGGAGAGCTGAATGTGCCTGGTTCTGGCTCGGTGACGGCGACTGCTGATGCTGCTCCGTCTTGGTCATCGAGTTTGTCATGATAGACATGGACTGACTGGTGGAATGAGAAACTTTGGGGCTGAAGTGCAACGTGGGCTTGGAACTGAGACCTTTCATGTCTAACTGATGGGAGCCATTGTGCCCATTTGACTTAAACAGGCAGTTGCTGATGCCTTTATTATGGGAGCCCATCTTCTGCTGGTTGAGTGTGGCCTGGTTAGAGACTTTTGCTTTGGCGAAGCTGCTGGTGGTGGGTTGAGGGCTCATGGTTGCAGGCCAGCCGGTCATTCCTACATGCTGGGTCTGGTGCTGGTGATGCAGAAGAGCACCTGGTTGCTGCTGGTTTGCTGCCATCTGCTTGAGCTGCTGTGCGTGGGATATTTCCGGCCAGCAGGGCATGGCTCTGCTGTGTCCGCTCTGGGCATTGCCTTTCTGCGACGTGTTGGTAGAAGCGGTGCTGTTCAGTGTGAATGAAGGACCCGCTGAGGCCGGTCGAAGCTGCGGTGATCCATTGTGGCCCTGTCCGAAATCTTGCGAGTGCTCCGTCTTTATCACCTTGTCCACCGGGGAACACAGAGTGGCTGCTGCTCCTGCTGAATTTGGCCGACCTAGGTCCAAACCAAAGGTATCGTCCTGCTTTAGGATCTTCTCAAATTCAAGATCATTCAGAGGAGGCACCGACTTTGTCAGTTCATCAAACAGCTCCTGGAGTTCCGGGTCAATTTGCCCGCTACCCTCATCTTTGAAGTCGAAAATCATCTCAGAGTTTGAGTGGCCACAAGACTGAATCTCTTGGGGCTCCTTTTTCATTTCTTTCAGAGTCATGTTGAACATGTCTGACCCTATTCCATGGGGCATCATGTAGTTCTTCCTCTGCAAGCCAGCGGTTGAGGACCCTTGCAGAGGGTGGGTTAAGTTGTGGTTGCAGGAACCGTGACCCAGGCCACCTGCGTCCAAACGGACACGCTTAAAGTCGGATCCTGAGAATCCACAAGAGAGGCCGTTCTGCTTCAGTCCTGTTGTGTTTCCTTCCATTTTCCTTCGCAGAGATCCTTGAAGCTACAACACACAAAACAGTAATGTATTAGTAATTCAAACAGCCAATCCATTTTCCATTCAGTTTTGCAGTTGAGGCATTGCTTTTAGAAGAAATTCAGGAAGAGGCTTTTCTTAACAGAAGACCTTTGTTTACCGGTACAATAAAGATAGGCATGTTTTACCAATACAGTTTTGTAGCATGTAATATTACGCACGGAGTGGTTACTAAGATCAAGATATAAAAAGGTTATAAATTCAAAACTACAAGAAAGTTCCTACAATTTTAAGTAGGGCTGAAATCATTAATTATGATGAATCAATTATTGTAATAAACATCCATAATTTTAGCTTAATCATTAACTGGAGTATAAAGATTTTTTTTAAAGTTATTTGCTAAAAGAATAAGATATGTGGTGGTTTAAGGTGTATTAGTAGTAATCTACAAGGGATGACTTTTTAACATTATAAATTCCCCGCACAGTAAAAAGGTACATCTGCTTACTGAGGTTCTGATAACCAAATTTAACAGGTGTTTATGCTATAATTCTTTTTAACATCGAATTTATTGCTGTTCATTTGAAGTAAAAGCAACTAGACAATAAAAATCAATTTATTTGCCTAACTGTAAATGTCCCAATCGCATAAAATGAATAGATCATTTCAAATAAGAAGCATATTTAAACATTTGGAGTACAGAAATGAGGCAATAAAGACACGTTTGATTATATAGTTCGAGGCAGTGGATGGGATGAGAAGATGGTTAGGAATCTGATACAGACTGTGGAAGGGAAGAATAGCTTCTTTGTCTGTTTCCCTCATTTGCATACATTATATTTTCCACCATTGTGCCTGGTTAGATAGCAGAGTTTCCTTTGTGGCTGAGATTCTGCTTAACATGCTGGTGCAGATATCTGATTTCCTTTTGTGCCATGCTCATGTCTTCATTTACGCATGAACGTAGTCATGACTCACAGCTCCAGTCACTCTACTGTACTCCACAAAACTATTCTCCATTAGCGGAGCAACACACTGAACCAATTATTTTTATAAACTTGTTCGCAAAACAATAAATCTTAATCCTCATCTGAAGATAATGAGTTATTGACAACAATCCGTTAGAAACAAACAGCTTACTGTTAATCACTGACTGTTGTTTATGCACACAAGCACAAACTTGTCCTGCCATGTTTTAATGTGGCAGCTGCATGGAAACAAAATGGCTCTGATTGTTGTCCAACCTGCATACAGGAGAGCAGTATCACTGTTTGTTGTCGGTTTCACTGTAGGAACAAATTTGATTCATTTCCACCTGCTGGCAAACATTGCATTAAGATGATTCACCGCCAGAGGGTTAGAGCAAATTCTGCACTTCATTACACGCCAAGCCTGCATTACCTCTGCTGCTACTACAACAACTGTGTTTGCATTTAAAAAATTTTATGAAATTGTGATTGCATGAATCTGTTTTACTTTGTTTGTTGAGCTGCAGGAAAATGTCCACCTCTGTGGACAATAAAGTTTTATCTTATCCACAGAATATAATATAATTACTGTTCAGGTTTAAGGTCTGCATCTGACAAAGCTTTTTTTATGAGAACTTATACTATTTTGGTGTTTAGAGCTACTAAGCTCGACTCTGCTGTGTGTTATGGGTCTATCATTCTTTTACAAAACGCTAAAATATGCAAACAAGTCCATCAGAGTGCTTAACATAATGTGATCAGTAAACATTGTGTTAACAGGGAGTGTCCATAGTATTGGCTCTGCAAGGCTAACAAAGCTGTATTTTAAGTCAAGCACATTATTTTGTTGTTTTAACAAACCAGAGTTTTCCTTAGTAATTACTACTACTTTTCACCATTTACAACATACTGCCTGTGTGATGTCATCAGCTCATTAAATGTTTAATTGTTCAAGGTGCAGGTTTATTGCACACACTATTAACTAGCACTGTTTAGAAGAGCCAAAGTACCAACAGGTCATTTCAAAACGGAAACTAAACTATTGTTGGCCAACTACTTCAGTAAACCGCTCCTAACTATCTGGATTTAATAGGTTTTCTTAGGTTTTTTTTTGTTGTTGTTGCTTTTTTACATTCCTGAACAGCATCTGTTTTTATTTTGTATTGACTGATGACTGGTCTTGGATTTCTTGGCATTACCTCCCACAACCCAAGCGGCGATGCATGTTCCCATTTTACAATGATATCCACAGTTAAAGAGAGATTGTAATGGCTGCTAATTATAAACCAGAAGAATGAATTTTGCTTTAAGTTTTGACTGCACATAGTTAACTGAAGCTGTATTTAAACAAGTTACTCTCAAGCGCTAACATGCTAATGCCAGCTTAGCATGTTAGCTAAGCAGCAAATTGCTGTAACTCAAATTTACTGAGGGCTTTAGCTGTAGAGTCAGGTGTTAATACACATAGGGCAGCCCTGCACTCCTGTTTGAACAAACTATAAATTGGAAAAATTGGCAAAAAATCTTTATGGAAAAACATGTAAAAATTAAATATGTCCATATCTTTGCTCTTGCAGGTGAAGCCAAACAATTCCCAAGGGAGCAAGTGACCACTGAAGAGAACCGCATTGGTGACAATATTAACAGTGATAAATTCAGATGATACGTGAAAAATTGAAAGTTGGTTAAAAGCAGCTTTAAGAGGAATCAAGTAGGCATCTGTAGGAGGCTTGAACAATGTAATTTGCAGCCAAGAGAGCAGCTTGATTAGCTGATGTACTGATCTGAGGCCTTGAAATTGCTTAGCTTGCCTAACCTCTGTAAAATCAAATCACTGATCAGTGTATGCAGAAGCACACCAGATTACTCACTGTACTTTGTGACCAAAAATTGTCCAAGCTTGCTATGTGATAAGAAAAAAATAGTGAATGTGTAAAAATAAAGCCATATTTCATTTACGTCGCATTAAAAAAGGTAATAATTACATTATTTGGATTGTCTTCCCTTCTGTTTTTTGAGTTCATGGATTCTGTGACTTTTCTCTTCAGAGATTATTGAAGGATAATCTCCATAATAATAATGGATATATATATATCCATTTATCTTAATTTGAAACGTCTATTTTACTAGGCCACTTGGAAATAAGTGATTCGCAGTGAAATTATTAAACCTCCACTTGTTTGTTCTCAGCCGCCTCCAACATCAAATCATGCTTTTGTTTCTCCACAACATGAAAAAAATGCATTAGTAATGCTCCACCAGCACTTTCAGAAACTGTAAAGCCTTAGCGCGTGTTTACACCCTTGAAAACACCCACGGCCTGAATGCAATACAGAATTAGAATAGTTTTAACTTAATACTAAAAGCAGAAAAGTACACCGTTTTATTTTTGCTATAGAGCAAAACAAAGTATGCGCCTACTCACAGACCTTCTGTTTTTGCTCTTTTTTTTGTCAAACTTGATAGAATCAAAACTCCAATTTTTAAAATCAAAGATGATCTAAGTAAATACAAACTTCAGTTTTCAAATGCTGATTTTACACATTACACATTTTACACATTAAGCCTAATAACTGGTGGCGCCCTGGACCGTCATACTTCCACCATGTTTGGCTTTAGGTCTGATGTTCTTTTTCTGTATTGCAGTGTTACTTTTACGCTGCATGCAACAGGACACACACCTTGCGAGCTTAAAGTTTTTTGTCCTTTTTTTTTGTCAACATAGACGTTTCAGATTATCAAGCAAATTTTAATATCAGAAAAAGAAATAAAATGTAGTTTCCTGATTATAATTCATTTTCTAAATTAAGTTTTATTCAGTTGGAGCAACAAGCCCGGCTACGAATGCAACAATTTTGGGAAAAAGTAGCCAACGATTTTACAGAGGAGCTATAGATTAAACACAAGTGAAGGACAAACTCAGCTTTTGATGAACCGTAAGGCCTCAAGTGCAACCAGCTGGGCATGGTCCATGGAGGCCAGTGCCTACAAGTAAGCGTCTTACTGCTGTATGCAAACTGGCGTGATGCGAAAAAGTGTTTCCATTGCATTTTTGCAAAATAATTCAATTTCGGCATATTCTCATCCTACTGTAAAAACGTAGCTAATTTTCTTTTTTCTGAAATTGGTGTTTTTCCATAAAGTAAATTTATTTTCAGAACTTTATGGTCAATGGAATTGCAGCATTCGAATCTGGGTACTCTGGCTTCCTCCACAGTCCAAAGGTACAATTGCAAGTTTAATTGGTTACTTTAAATTGCTCTAAGGTGTGTGTGTGTGTGTGTGTGTGTGTGTGTGTGTGTGTGTGTGTGGCCTGTGATGAACTGGCAACCTCTCCGGGGTGAACTCCACCTCTTGATCTGGACAGAGCACCAGGTCTATACCCGCATGGACAAGCGGGTACAGACAATGGATGAATGGATTCTAGGTCACAGCTATTTTTTTATTTTTTTAAGTACAAATATTTTCAAAATTTAAAATTCTGATATTGAAGTTCCCAAAAGAGGATAAAGTTCTTCTCTGCTACTACACCTGTTTGATGTTAAATTATTATAAGGGTCATAGAGAGGTGTACAGTTTCATTTAAATTGTAAATGTGCACTCAATTAACTTTTTTTTTTCCTTATGATCTCAACTCTTAGGCATAACTGGACATTTTAATGTTTCCAGAAGCAGACATAAAGAGCCCCTCTGGTGCAGGCAGTTCAGGTTCATTCTTGTTTTGAAGAAGAGAGACAAGAGAGTGGCTCATGGTTCAAGGCTGTGGAAACACATCATGAATAATGGAAAGGAGGGTGCATGTGTTGCAAAAGCTGTTGTGATAAAGGGGTTGCTCTCCTCCTGCTTTGTGCCATTTAAATGTGTTTAAAGAAAAATGGACCTCAAGATCAAACTTTGAGGTTAGAGTTTGAGCTTTATCAAAACCATCTTCGCTGGAGAGAAAAAGCAAACTGAAATCCGGTTTTCAGCATTTCCATTGGAAAAGACCAGTCCAGTTCACTCAGCTCTCAGAAGCAGTGGCCTCCTGCTGTAACTGGCCTGAAATCCTCACGACTGATCTCAAAGTGATCTGAAAATAGATTTTTTGATTAACATTTAATGAGCTCAGATGCTCTGAATCACTTTGAAAGCGACTCCTGCAACACGAGAGGCTTAAACACAGGATATACCGATCATCTTTAATTTCCCTCTCCGAGTCCATTCTAATGCACACGAAAACAATGTGCAGTTAAAATATGTTTTAAAGATGTAACAAGGAGTAGGATCGTTTTTACACTTTCTGGTTTCGCACGGAACAATAAGGGGTTCCATTTTGAACAATCTTTTCAGCGGGGCTTATTTTTGCATTACGCCATGGCAGCGAGGCACATGACCTTCAGCGTGTCAAAGGAGACAAACTATTCATGGGAGCTGGGAGGCTGGGCGCGAGAGTGTCAAGCTAAGCAGTGTCGTGATGCTGAGCGCTGTGGATGGAGCTCCGGGTGAGCCGTCACGGCAACGCAACACCAGACCTCTTGGTACCATCTGTCAGTCCAGTGGCACAGCCTTCAGAGACAAGCATGCTCAAAAGACTGAGCACACCAGCCTTTAATCTTTTCACCGAAGCCCTGAAAGATGCTGCAACGCTCTCCTGGGAGAGTTAGAGATCTCCCATTGAGCGTTTTAATATGGATGAATGTCTCAAAACAACAAAAAAATAAATATAACTGTTGGGTTCCTAAGGAAACATGATATGTGTGCGGGCAAAGCAGGTTGTTCTTTTTTTTATTTTTTTATGTGGAGACATTTTTGGCTCGTTTGTTGCCTGAAAAAAAGCCCCAAAACCAAAGACAGTTAACAGCTACAGAAAATTTTAGGACTGAAACAATTAATTTGATCGATTATTGAAATAACTAATTTAGTAATTGATTAATTGCTAACTGGAGTATAGAGACTCAACAAAAATCAGTTTGCTGAAAGAACAACATATTAAGTCAAATTTGCACAAAAAAATACATTTTGCATTTAAACCAATCTCTATGTTTTACCCAGAACTCCTCCAGTGTCACAGTTCTACTGACACCTGGTTGAAATTCTGGAATAAAATCTTTTGTTAAGCAGCTTTTGCCATCAAATCAACCGGTTAATCCAAAAACTAGACGGCCTACACTGTACTGTTAAGTCAAGTCGCTGAGGATTTCACAGTTAGAAGTATTTTTTGAGCTGCACATGCATACTTTGCTACAACTGATCAAGCGTACGCTAAAGTGATGCTATCTTACAGCATTTTAAGCAGCAAAATGTTTGTTTTCTTATTTCAAAAAGGAATTGCAATATTAGCATCTTTTGATGTATTTCTAATGCATTCTGCTAAAACAGAGCTTAAATTCATTTAAGATCAAGAACATTTCCAACAAATCTGAATAACTTCTCTCAATTAGGGATGCCAAGAGATCTGGAAACGCAACAAAATTTCTGAGTAAAGTCTGTCTATAAGCACCGTCCTGTTGCTTTCAGGATTTGCCTTCATCTGGAGAAGTTTGAGACACGAGGCCCAGATATGAAGGTGAGCGCTTTAAGCCTGATGTATGCTTGATACTCTTCTTGTTTTAAAGTAAGAACTGGAGTAATTCATGAGTTACCCTGTTCTGCTGATAGAGCTGGCTCATTCTTTTGGGTTTTATATCTTTTGAATTGCTTCTTTGGCAGCACTTAGGGTCATCGCAAGAGAAACGAAATAAAGTCAGAGTGACCGGCCAGATAAAAGTGATTTGTAATCAGTGTCAGAAAACCAAGTCTGGCTAACTGCAAGCTGTTCGCAACACGAAAGTTAACCTCACAGCTTCCAGTGGTGCAATATCACATTTTTGTCTGGTCAAAATCAAGCTGGAAAGTTTCACACTGAACAGAACTTATTTAAAACACATCTCTGTCCTTTTTGTGACATTATTTTTGTGCAAAAACTTTGAATGAAACAAGCATGGCACAATGCACGCACAAGTCCCATCTGGACTAGAATATGTCTCACGTATGTGTTAGGTGTTTTCCCCCAAAAAATTCCTAAAATCTCACCATCATATCTAGTTGCACCTGTGATCCAGATGTACTCTTGCATCACCACCAGTATTTTATTATATTGGCTAAATTCTATAAAGTTTTGTGGGTGTGTTCAGCTTCAGATTAGCAGGAAAAAGCTACGCCTGATATCGAGCAAATACACAGCTTGCCATAGTTTGTGCTACTCTATGACCACTGAGCTTGCCATATTCCATCACCTGAAACCATTTTTGCTACTAACTAAAACAGAGTACGTCTTTAACCTTGACTGTATCGTCATTAGGCAAAGAATGTTTATTTGTAAAGCGCCATTCATACACACGATAATTCTAGGTGCTTTACAGATGAAGCTACGGATAAAAGACCAATAAAAACACACAATACTTTCTTAAGCTCCACATAAAAAAGGGTTACTGGTCATTCCTGCATTATCTGCAGCACTTAAAGTGTTTTTTTTTCCATTCAGTTTGATTATTTTATAACAGAAATGATGCGCCAACCAGAATTTTGAAGTTGACCTCCGATTTCCAGTGTTTGTGCAGCTTTGACGTGTCGGTTACAACTGATTCCAATTTCTCTTAAAAACCACAACATAGAAAAGCAGTCAAACTATTTTTTCCTAGCCTTTCTTTTGCGAGTGGTCAATAACAGACCAATTGGAGTGAAGTGGGGTTTAACTATTATTAATGGACTAAAATAATTATGGAGTTTCACATCCTTATTTAGTGCAGCTAGAATGACCAAAACATCCTTCCTATGCTATGCTGTAAGTTTTGCTCTCTCCCACAGCCTGAATAAACCACAGTTCTATTTTCACTCATTGAAAAATACAGTTTCCTTTAAAACATCTCTCTGCTTCTTCCAACTTTTCACATTTAAAACATAATCAGCGTCCGAGTCTACTTCACTCAGAAACACCCTCCACACTGAAGAGTGTTGCCAACACAACATGA